CCAAGTTCTCAAGCTGAATCATAGATAGAGCCAAGTTCTCAAGCTGAATCATAGATAGAGCCGGGTTCTCAAGCTGAATCATAGATAGAGCCGAGTTCTCATGCTCAATCATAGATAGAGCCAAGTTCTCAAGCTGAATCTTAGATAGAGCCAAGTTCTCAAGCTGAATCATAGATACAGCCAAGTTCTCAAGCTGAATCATAGATAGAGCCAAGTTCTCCAGCTGAATCTTAGATAGAGCCGAGTTCTCAAGCTGAATCTTAGATAGAGCCGAGTTCTCAAGTCACATTCATGAAAAGCGTGTTTATCTCTAAAGCCTATGTTGATGACCTGCATGCACACTGCAGTATCCACTGTTATCAGAGACGTATGTGTGCATTAGTCAGGCGCATTCCTCTGGAGAGACATCTTAACTTCAGATGCGCCATTCTCTATCTATCTAATTTTGTATCGTTTTGTGTCCCTCAGTTTTAGTGCAATGATGAATCTGTTCCTCAACTCCATGGTGCACAGATATCGATCCTGCCTGGGAGTGGTCTTCTATGCCTCCATCTAGCCACCCTCATGTTGACCACACCTGTTTCCCGATATCGTTCCAGTCGATCTATAACCCTTTCAGATTTACCAAAGTGTTTGGCTACTTCATCTTGGAATTGGTCAATTCGAGCATCATTTTTTCATATTTGTTTAGTTTTGTCTTATGCATGCATTTTCTTTCTTTGTACCCGATCAGGGGGTCGTGTGGTTGTGACAATTATTGACACATGCTGACAACCAGTGGATGTTTTACTTGTTGGTACGGGTGACATTGTTTGGCAGCTTGACTCCTGAGAGTTTATATAGCCCATCGGTCCTGCCCCACAACAAAGCATATGTGATACATGTGGTCTCACCTTAGGCAATGAGTTTGTTCAAAATTGCCTCTGTTCACCCAGCAAAAACTGGGTACCCGGTGGGACAAGTCATGTGACTATAACCTTCTTGCGCCTCACAGGCAGCTTGGGTTATCCGGGGTAATACTGTGTTAGCGCCACGGTGATGCTTACGAGCATGGATATGTGCGCATTATAATTATGTATGTATTATTATTATTATTATTTGAGCGAGTTTGATATCCACCTTCAGTAACAGTGTCTCGTGCAGCAAAGATCGTCTTCTCACAGTTACAGTTTAAATAACAGGGTTCCTTTAAATAGTACATACCAAATAATTTCGTGGAAGACTCGTGATATTTTAGTATTTAGAGTGAATATAAGCGGGCGGTGGGGTAGCCTGGTGGTTAAAACGTTCGCTGATCACGCCGAAGGCCCGGGTTCGATTCCCCACATGGATACAAGGTGTAAAGCCGATTTCTGGTGTCCTCCGTCGTGATATTGCTGGAATATTGCTAAAAGCGGCGTAAAACCATACTCACTCAGTCAGTCAGTCGAGTGAATATTTTACGCTTCGTGTAGAGAGGTTACCTACATTCACACAATGTAATTAGTTGCCGGTAATTCAACAGTCAGAAACATGTTACATGCAACAAATGTATTTTACTGATTACTTCAAAGTGCAGAGCTCTGAGGCCTGCATCATGTCGCTCTTCCCTCCCTCATTAGGCTGACGGGTCATGATATAACTGAAATACAGCTATAACCTGTGCCAAACGCTGTAGTACACAATGCCGTTTATATCTTATATACGTTGATATCAATTATGTCTACGAAACTCGATAAAAAAATAATGGAAACTCTTCCAACGTTTTCAACCGGGCGTGTTTTGGCATAAAAGTGTTTAAAACTCGAGGGATATGGAAAATGTCACAGAAACAAAGTTTACAAATATATATATATACCGCTGTCTTCGCTTGTGGAACGGTCGCGTTGGTATACGATGACAGGGGGTCAGCTTGTAAACAGGGAAAACAAGTGTCTTGAGTGTGAGGGGTACAGCTAGCAAGCTTTAGTGGCAGAGTGATCGGTGATGTCATTTGATTGTGACGTCATGGAATCCGATCACATTGTGTGCTAGCAATATCCATTCGTGACATCACCTTTAGAAACCAGTGGTGCACACGAGTAGGTACATCTTGACAGATATGTTCTATGTGTATTATTCTGAACACGTGCATCCAACGCATCTGACCCCAACACATCTGGAGACTACACAATCGCTGAATTTATAGTAGGCTTAGAGCTTAGCGATTTACATACACACATAGGTTAGCAATAAGAACGACAGAATCGTGAGGAATATACAAATGTAAACAATGTTTTCGTTATTCTTCAGCCCCTAAACCCTAAAGGCTTCTGGTCTGTCGAAGTCCTGTCAGTTATGAAGACTGCCGATCGACAGGTGACGGCTGGGGATGTGTAAGTCAGCTGACTAATTACTGGTATCTGTTTATTTTCTGCATTACAAATTATAGTCTGTCATACAGACCCTGAAGCAAACATATCCAAGAAAGCCCACGTAAGTCTAGAAAATGCAGCAAGACTAGATTTCCACAGCTTCAGAAAATGAAGAAAGTCTCAGGGCTCCTTTTCATTATATATATATTTTTTTACTATGAACTTTTTTCTGTAAAATATGTTCATTTCAGAGACTAGTTGTTAGCATCTACAAATTACTACACTGCCATGTGTGAAACGTACAAATAATGTACCTTCCCATATTTTGTCCCCATGATGCCGATCGAGCGTCAGGCAGGGTAACAAGAAGCACCATGTATTAACGTCTCATGGTGTAATGGAACCGGAGATCCAACCTCCAACCTCCCGCTCTATACACTACACCACGGAGTTCTACTATTACATGAGTTATCGACTTATAAAACATCAAACAAATGGGGCGGTGGGTAGCCTAATGGTTAAAGCGTTTGCTCGTCACGCCGAAGACCTGGGTTCGATTCCCCACATGGCTACAATGTGTGAAGCCTATTTCTGGTGTCAACCGCCGTGATATTGCTGGAATATTGCTAAAAGTGGCGTAAAACTAAACTCACTCACTCAAACAAACCAATCCCCTGATTAGTAAAAAAACGACTAAATATGCCTGCTTCGCAACGTTTACTTCAACGTTCCTGACAATACACTATGTTACTATAATTACTTTATTTTTGTTGCTGTTGCTGTTGCTGTTGCTGCTGCTGCTGCAGCGATCTCAGCAACAATCAAGCTTTATGACGGATGTGTGCAAATGATCGAGGATGGACCAGACAATCCAATGATTGGCGTCAAGAGTATCGATATACCAGCACCTGGTATGCGATCATATGCATCAATCTTCCACTGAGTCTGATTACCCGATCCCGTTAGTCGCCTATTACGACAAGCCTGGGATGCTAAAAGCCAATTTTCTCACCAATGCCGTGGCTTTTCGTGGCGAAATCTGTAATGAATTCGAAATACCTGTAGATACAAGCGAGACGAGCGTTTTGTTTCGCAACATGCGGATCAACATGCGGATGTCACTCGGTAAAATTATTGATGTGATGAATTCAATAAGCTTTACATTAAATGCTTATTTGTTTTATCCAGATTCGTGTCGTTTTTGTAATAGTAAGAGAAGCAACTTGGGTCTTGATTCAGTAGTCCGGACTATTCGCAATCCGGACGAATTTGCTGAGAACCGCAACCGTCCGGATTAACGAGGCTTCACTGTATATAATATTTTAGGTTATTTGTTTTTTTATGTAACATGATTCTATTTTACTTCAAATCTAAGATTGGGTTGGGTTGTTGTTTAACGCCGCACTCAGCAATATTCCAGCTATATGGCGGGGGTCTGTAAATAATCGAGTCTGGACCAGACATTCCAGCACGAGTGAGTTTAGTTTTACGCCGCTTTTCAGCAATATTCCAACAATATTGCTTCGGGGGACACGAGAAATGGGCTTCACACATTGTACCCATGTGAGGAATCGAACCCGGGCCTTCGGCGAGACGAGCTTGGCTTCCCTACCACCCCTCAACAGCATGAGCATCCATCTACGGGATACGATGACGTGTTAACCAAGTCAGCCAGCCTGACCACCCGATCCCGTTGGTCGCCTCTTACAAGCATGGGTTGCTGAAGAGCAATTCAAACCCGGATCTTCACGGGTCACAAACCAGAGAAAATATTAGATATTCTTATGGACGAATTCAACCGTCAATGTTATTACCTACAGATGACAGGGTATCATTTTTGCTTGTTTGTGCGACTTATCAAAATTATCCTTACAAGATATTCCAAACCCCACTTTACAGAAACATAATATACTAAAATGTCTGTTGAAAAATTATTTATACATTTGTTCGTCATGCAAGGCAGTAAGGAACAATAGCGTTAATGTGTCACTCCAGGAGTGTTTGTATATACGGTAGGTTGCTGCACTGCAACTCGACCTGTGTTGGCTAAGGGCCAACATCCACACTGACATAAAGATGATGATAACATAGCTTTTCGGAATATTTGACATTTCAAACTATTATCTACAAGAAATGTGGGAAAGTGTACCTGCTTAAAATCAAAATGACAATATTACTTATGGTAGTTAATTTCTTCGTGTATATCGTGCTTAAGTTACTAGTTCGCAAAATATCAATAAATGTAGTAATTTTCCTCACTCTCGTATTTTCTCGTCAAGTCGAATAGGAGTTACTATATCTTAAGGCACGTACTGCATTCCTTGGATATGATTCTTGCACATGATCTAAAAACAAATCACACTATAATTTATTCCAGGCTTATCTTCTTTCAATTTTGCTTATTTTCTGCTGCTAATAAATGCAAAAATCTTCCTGAAACGGCGAAGGCCATGTCTTTTTGTGGCAAATTTCGACGGAAATAGCCGATCTCACACGATTATTAATGAGGGTACACCTAAAAGTATACATGTGAACTATGGAGTCACGCTTGTTCGGTTTGTTTGTGCGATGTCAGGGCTAGGACATATGTTAGGTCCCATGTCAACACGTAGACCATTACTTCAAAGATTTGGTTTCATGTTTATTTCCTATAAAAGTTCTGGAAAGTGCTTTGACGTAGCGAATGTCCGAGCACAACAAATCCAACTTTTGTAAGAACCTTTCCGGTTTGAACACCGGCATCATCCGCGAGATCAAATTACTACTGCCTGTTTGCCTGCCGAAAAACCTTCGAAATGCCGTATGGTTATGATCCCGTAAGTGTAGACATAAACATTACTTTCGTTTGGTAAAGTCGAAACACACCTCTTAACCCTCAATCTACTTGTATTCGACAAGCAATTATTTCAAGCTTTGTGTGGGTATTTGCACGTGTTCTTAGCCGCCATTTTCTTGTGAATAACTAGCGTGGTTTTCAAAATCAACAGCACTCGCTGTAAGGGATTATTTCGTCTTCAGGGTCCGTTTTCTGTCGATTCATTTAGTTTGTGATGTTAGCTTAATATTCATCAAAACTTCAGATAGGTTTTGTAATGGGGATTTAGCTAAAAATTGAGGCGTGAACCTGTATGGCGCTCAGTTTGAAAATGACCCTTCCAACATAGGTTCATGTAAAGGTCGATACGGGTTGAACAACGGTCTCCAGATGAAGCTCTCTTCCTCTGTGTTGGGGTCGATGGATGAATATGACGTTTTTACTATTTTGCATTTAGATTTGCTTGAACGCTGAGCCCTATGTCACTCCTATCACGTTAAATGTTGAAAATCTTGTTATTTTTCTGTGCCTGACATTGCATTCAGACCTTAGCAGATGCATTTATTCCAGTAAAATTAGGAATTCGATAAGCATCACACCACAGTACCATATTTAGACATGTAAACAACATGTTAGCTGTTTATCAAATAATGTGTACATGTTTATAACTGTAAATATCGTATCTAGGTCATCATGTACATAATCTTCATTCTAACTATAAACAGGCAATATGGGACATTAGGGGTTGCTAAATTGAATGCCTCGCATCTCATTTATGCCCATGGATCAAATTGTAAATAACATGTAAATATTCACATGTGTAGGACACCAGTAGTACACAACAGCTGGACATGTCGCCAAGGATGACCAGGTTATGTGAATAATCAATAATTCCAAGACATTTGAGATGCCTTTGGCTAATGACCACACTTGAATGACTAATGAATCGGCTTAAGCATATTTATTAGCGTCCGGCATCTCAGTATCACTGCCCTTTAACGTTGGATAATTATTTGGGTGTTTTTTTAGGACAATGCAAGGGGTAGACACCAATGGTCACATCTAAGTAGTCTCAAGCATATTTTGGACTAGCATTTTTTTGTGAAATATTGGATTTGTTTTGAAAAAAAAAGCTGGCTCCAAGATATGTCATCAGTCACTAATTTGCAGCCATATTTATCCCTGAAATAAGGATAAAAAAATATCATTTTCTGTTAGATCCAAGGTGAATTTGGCTACGAAAAAAAGGTTATTAAACATGTTCACTGACCATGAATCTGGACCACAAAACAAAGTGAAAAGTTCTTTAGTGAGTGGATGTCTTGTGCAGAAGTGATACAGATTTGCTTGAAATATTTACTGCAATACACACTCTTCACCAAGTTAACATGCTTAAAAGCCTGAAATTTGGCTTGCTGCCTTATCAAAATGACTTTGGCTTGTACCAAGGTGATCCATATGCTCCCATTCAGCAATAGACCAGTTTATTTTAGGCTAGATCAAGCATACCAGGTTTCTTAAAGTCGTGTGTGCTCAGTATTCATGCTAGATGTATATATGCCTCCTATAATGCTTCAAGGGGCATATGTAGGTGTAGATTGATAATCATGGCGAGACCCAGCTGCAACCATCCCTCCTGTCATTTCATTGTAACACCTAAATAGTAGTTGTCTTGCAATGAAACATTGGTATCCTTAATGTGTTCAAGCAGGTTCATGATATATTCTCTTGTGTGAGTTAATACTCACTTTTGGGGCAGTGGGGTAGCCTAGTGGATAAGGGTATTCGTTCGTCACGCTGAAGACCCAAGTTCGATTCCCCACATGGTACAATGTTTGAAGCCCATTTCTGGTGTCCCCTGTCATGATAATGCTGGAATATTCTTAAAAGCAGTGTAAAACCATACTCACTCATCCTCACTTGCTATTTGTTCCTTCAGTACCAACCAAGGAAACCGCCGAGCTATGGACCCAAAGATCCTGAACATGAAACATATAGGAAGCTGTTCATTGGTGGTCTTAGCTACGAAACTACAGATGAAACTCTGAAGAAACACTTTGAACAATGGGGTCAGGTTGTCGACTGCATCATTATGAAGGATCCCACAACAAAACGGTAAGGGTGTATTAACTGCAGACGTGCCAATCTGGATGGCCGTGGTGTAATGAATCTTACAGATATGATTTAGGCTTATGTTAATGATAATGAACCCCATCAAACTGAATTTTTGAATTCAGATATGTATAATGTATTCAGTATCCTGTTTAGTGGTGGTGTGATGCATTTTAATGTAAACAAGTCAGGAAAATTGCTCATTTTTCTGAGTTTGATTGTAGATCCCGAGGGTTTGGATTTATCACGTACAAGGAGGCTGGCATGGTTGACGAGGCTCAGGGCAAGAGGCCACACAAGATTGATGGCCGAGAGGTGGAATCTAAGAGGGCAATGCCGAGAGAGGTGTGTACCAAACTAGCAGTATAAAACATGACGTTATCACAATTTTATTGACATCAGTCTTAAATTATTCAGATTTAGATTCTGAATTGCCGCATTTTGAATTATCAGATGTCTGCTGATGAGTCATTAATGTTACGAAACTAAAATCTATTGAAAATGATACAAAAAGCCATGTTTCTAGGCTCAAAAGCTTTTGGCACAAAATGCATCTGTTAGTGTATGTATATTAATCAGTTTTCAATCATTTGGTTGATGTTGAGCAGGTATGGGATTTTGTAAATAAATGCACACACCTCACAGTGAATCTGAATACTGTTCACGACCCAGTTGTTTCACAGATCCTTAGGATCAAACAACACAAATGGCTATAAAGCCAATGCTTGAAAACAGGCTTGTTCATAGGTCTATTGCAATACGTTTTCAAAGGGAACATCCTGTCTTTTTGGTCATTGCGATACAATGGTGGTGATACGATACGTATCCTGATAGTTAACAGTTTCTGAAAACAGAACATATGTGATAGATAAAATAACTGAAACTTTGTTATTCAGCAGAACTTGTGTTACATTCACACACTAAAAATGCTTTTGCTCCGATAAAATTTCAGTATTTGATGATTAAGAAAGTACAGTTATACATTCAGTATACCTTGATGTAATATAGATAAATTTGAAATGGAAGTTGTTTCTACACTTATGCTTGCACAAACAATTCAATGTAATTTGTTTCAGAATCACTGAAAAAAACTCGTAGGCTTGCTTTCTAAATTCTATCGTATCTTTGTTCTATTTCTTAACAAAGCTAAGACATCTTTCATAGTCAATAAATTGTGATATCGCGATATAAATATCCTGATTATTGCCTGAATGTGTTTTGTATAGATACTCATATCGCATAGTTGACGATGCAAACATCGATAATTTTGTGTAGGGAGCCTCTCTCATCAAACATGTCATGAATAGTAGCTCATACTATTAATCACTGGATTATCAGATCAAGGCTTGAGACCACTGTCATACTGTTGGAATATTGGTGAGTGCAGTGTCAAATGACAACCCTAACACATTCATGAATTCATTGGCATCGATAATGTTCAACGTTTCTTTGTCCAGGAGAGTGGCAACCCTGACAGCCAGATGTCTGTGAACAAGATGTTCATCGGGGGCGTCAAGGATGACACAACAGAGGAACAAGTACGCGAGGTCTTCAAGGAGTTCGGGAAAATTGAAAATGTAAACCTTATCACAGACAAAACAACGGGAAACTAAAAGGATTTGCATTCGTGGAGTTTGACGACTATGATTGTGTGGATAAAGCAGTTTGTAAGTTCAATGAGGGTGTCTCGAGCTTAAAATATTTAGCACTTCTACTATATGTGTTTAATAAATTTATCACAAATGTTTTCACTATGAACTGTTTAATAAACACATGCTCCATATAGACACCGTCTCAAGGCATTGGAACAAGATCCAATGTACATCTTGATTCAGAATTTTCACTGACAGTAGCAGCATGATTGTGACTGAGTATTGGTTTCTGAACAGGTGTAGGCAAACTCTGCAGATATTAAAAGAAAACATGGAAAGATTTCAAATACCGTTATCAGCATGGAGATGAAAGATTTCCGTTGCTTCAGGAATGTGATTGAGATCAGATTCAGGCAGCCATGAGGTTGTCCACACTTTGTCCAGTGCTTACCTGCTACTTCAACCAAACATGACTTTGACTGTTTATGTAAATCTTGTTTTCAGTACGGAAGAGACACTCATTAAATGGCAAGGATGTGGAAGTGAAGAAGGCTCAAAACAAGGACCAGCCTATTGCTATGGGAAGGGGGGTTCGCGGCATGAGAGGCGGTCGTGGCGGTGGAAGGGGTGGTAAGCAAAGTAATTGCTCATGAAAACTAGCAAATGTTACTCTGATCACATTGCTGCAAACTGTCCCGATTTTCTTTGCTTTTGTTACAAATTTGCATCTGCATTTCCTTTTCCTTTTTTAGGAATGTCAGTATGTGGAAGGGGATTTCATGGAATATGTTTTCAAGAGAGGGTCATTGTTTAACCATATAGTGTCTGCTTTGAACAAGAACTACAATTTTCAATCTGTCCAATCAAAACACTCGAAAGCTGTCACAAAATTATTACTTTACATTCTGTGCAGACCTCTTTCCTTAGCTTGTAAGAATCAACGTCTCATCATGCAACTCCTAATAGTTAAGTCTGTTTTTTTGAATGGAACATGATGACTGACATGTTTTATCAGCCTCTTGACTACATGTCTCCCTCTCACCGGTGTTATTCCCTACTTGTAGGATATGGTGGTTACGGAGGAGGAGGATACGGTGATGGTTACAATGATGGATATGGACCAGGAGGTAAGGTTACACTGCTTGTCATGTTGGGCCTGTTTCAATCAGCCTCACAATGTAAGTTAGTCCTTTCTCAGTCTGTGCAACAAGGACACTATTCTGCATCTGGTAATACCCTGTGGTCATATAACTACATGTCTCAACAAATTACCTTGGCAATAAACTTTAAAATATCTAACTAAAGTACTGTAGGAAATAGAAAAAAACATTTTTCACATTTAGATCCACAATGTATGTAGTTGATATGTGAAAGTGTGAAATATCTGTTAAAGTTCGGCCTAACTACAGTCTTGGTGGTAAGGAGATAGGAATCGTGAAAAAGGGACTTTACTGAGGAGAGATTAGTGCAGAAATGAGCAATGTGGGGATTTTTTCAGCCACTGCGGCTGAGCGGTTTAGGCGTCGAATTTGTGTGCTGGCGATTAGGTGCCTGACTCTTGAGGGTGTGGGTTTGAATCCCGGATGGAGCTCAACCCCCCAAAAAGTACTATAATCTGTACTTTACTGAGAAAGTGTAATCCCAAATATAACATTTGTTACATTTGACCACTTTCTAAAATCGCATTGTGTATTTCATTTCATGCTTGGTGTGTCGACGGTTCGTCATCACATCTGTCCTAGCGACCTAATTGTCATCTATAGTCTGATCTATTGTTTTAAGCAGCTATTCGTATTTTGCCTGATTTTACGAGTAAACATGCTTTTCTGGATATCCCATTAGGCATCCCACTGAACGCCCAGTTAGGATGATGTGGGTTATTTTTTGGACATATGCTATTTGCAATTGTGTAAATTTTAGGGATACAGAGTAACAGCCAAAAACAGGTGTTTTTTTTCTATTTCCGATAGTACTTTAGCCGGGGTTTTTGTAACCTGTAAGGATCTGGGTTTGAAATGGCTCTCAGCAACCCATGTTTGTAGCGAGAGGTGTAACAGGATTGGGTTGCCAAACTCTGAGACTTGGTTGATACTCGTCATCGTATCCCAACTGCACAGATTGATTTTCATGATGCCGATCACTTGTTTGTCTGGTCCAGATTTATTATTTACAGACCACCTTGATTTAGCTGTGTTTTGTTAATCTTATCCCCTTGTTTACAGGATATGGCGGTTACAGTCAAGGGTATGGTGGAGGTGGAGGCAACTGGGGCGGCCACGGCGGCGGCGGTTATGACGGGTACGGTGGGCCCTATGGCAACCAAGGTGGCTGGGGAGGTGGTGGGCCCTATGGCTCAGGCTATGGGGACAATTACGGCAGCGGCCACATGAAGGGAGGTAACTACTCACACAGATCAGGATCATACGAAGGTGAGTATCAGTGTTGGAAGGTCTCACTATTGAAGGGGACAAGAGCCACATGTGTGAGGCTCATTCTTGGTGTGCTTCAACATGTTATTGCTGAAATATTGTAAAAGGCACCATCACACCACACTTCTCTAAGAATAAATGATGCATTTCTCTCAATAATACTATCAACCCTCGGGGAAGCTACCATATAATTTATTGAATTTTTTTTTTATGTATTTAGATTACAACATTAAATTTAGAAGTTTGAATGAATTAATGGAATGTTGCATTAAATCACCTCTTGCACCCTCTGCCGGCCGAACATTATTTCAAGCGAACCCCATAGTCATGTCCTTTGGAGCGCTCTTATGAATATCCTCCACAAACCTAGTGATTGAAACCAGTTTGGCAAACACTGACAACACCGCATGCAACATTTTGATGTATGGAGTAATTGTTTACATTCCATATATGGCAAGTGTTGTCTGTTTGGAAGCTGTTCGTCTCAAAGCTTCAATTATTGATTTCAGGCAAGTTGTAAGGGATGAAGTCTTTAATTGCATCAGTAGAAAGCTAAAGTGACTGCATTTGCCCCAATATATATGATATAGGCTAAAATGTTGTCAAAATTGTGCCTTTAATGATCGGTAGAAAACATTATTTTTTTGTCTTGAGAAACAAAGTTAAGCAATGGAACATGGTTTGTTAACTCCAGATGAATCAATAGAGAATACTACACAGGGTCTCATTACATACGAATCATTCGAAACGACTGTCCTTCCTATGGTATCTGACTGAGCGAAAGCGATGTCAGAAACCATAGGAAGGTCACGAGTTTCGTGTAATTCGTATGGAATGAGACCGAGTGTGGTATTTTATTTATTACCCACGTCTTACATGCACTAAATTGACAATATAGCATATTGTTGTTATTTGTATGGTTTCAAACCGAAACCTATTTTATAAGGAGGTTGCAGAAGAAAAGCTTGTTCCATACTACACTTTTTGCATGACGTCACACTGTAAAGACATCACTACGCCTTGCTCGTCTGCCCCCTTGGTTACGGCATCACGATGCATGTCATTTGTGATCGCCTCGTACGGTACATAAACTTCTCCGTAGCACCCCGTTTGTTAGTTTGCAATTGCTTCACTCGGCTAACATCACTGGTGGAAACTTTGCGTTAATGTTTTTCGACGCATATAACTCCTCACTTCGACTCAGCGATACGGCAATGTTTACATTTATACAGTGCATATAAATTGTAGAATGAATGAATTCACGTGTTTGTTATGAATGAAAAAGTAGTTCCGTCACAACGTGACCTAATTGAGAGGTCATCGGTTATCCAATCAAATCGTTAGAATCTCAGGTCAAGTGGTTACGACACAGGTCAACACGATACAACTCGTGTGACGTACGAGATTAGTATACAACTACACATACGTTGACCACATGGGTAATAAATGGGAGATATGCCACTGAAAACAGTAGATTCTATGCATTGTGGCACCTTGATGTGGGTGGCCCTGACCGCTAGAGGGGTTCAAGCACAGTATGCGGAAAAGCTACATATGTTCAAACTCTTGTTCGTGGAGTCTCATTTGTTTTCATAAAATATTAAGATTGAGGAAAGTGATCGCATTGCTGTTCAGTCTGCTTTTGGATTTGCTGCTGCTCTCGTGGTGTAACAGTGGCAAATCATCTGCTGTTTGAACACCTTACTGAAGTTAACTGAAACAAAAAAAACCAAATTGTCAGGAGTCTACTTAGTGACTGAAAATCAGCATGTACATAGCACAAATTTAAAAAAATATAAAGAAACATCCAATTCAAATAGACGTATGAACATGACTTGAGGTCTGTGAAAACGCCCTTTTCATAAAACAGGCACTTGATTTGAAATGTTACAGCTAGTGTTAGTGTAATGAACACTTCCCTTAGACATGTAATAAATCTTTGATCAGGTTCACCCTGATTGTGTCCACATATACGTGTTCTTGTGGGTTTTTCAAATATAACATAATTGCTTTAGCTTTCGGTGACATGCCCACTCACATGTACATATTCGGGTTTTGTCTTGCAGGCGGCTACAACAGCGGTGGATACGGCAGTGGTGGACGGGGAGGATATGGAGGGAACAAGTACTAGATCACGGGATGTCCATCCTCTGGTGTGTATCTGTTTGCTGAAGGTAACAGTCTTGAGTATATTGTTAGACCACATGCCTTGTGGTGCTCTGTCTATTCTGCCACCAGGATGCCTCCAGTATCATGACCTCGGGCCATGTCTTTGAGCGTGGTAGTCTATCGACTGTTTTAGGTTTTCCATATGAAAACTTGCTATACTGATTTTCAGTAGTATTGGTATTGACAGGTGTGTTAATGCAGATAGGTTTCGGATGTCTTTACAAGTTTCAGAGCTATATGAAAAATATAAGAAAGAATGAAAAGTTGTGCCTAAAGCTATTTTCTTGAATTGCTGAAACCTAATTTAAAATTCCCATGTCGATGCTTACACTTATTGGTTTGCAATATTGATGGAAGATTTCTTAAAGGGAGCTCAAAACTATGTTTATTATGTAACTTATATAACTTTCAATTTCTCTTTCTTCAGACGGGTTCATTCAAACGGGCAGGCAAACGGGCAAACTACTACGTTTAGGGTCTGGTGGTGTGTTTCAACTACCTCTATTGAGACAAACAAACTTTGAACACTCCTCCAGACGGCAAGTTATCAGAGACCTAGGAAAGCACCTGTCACGGGGACCAACAGCTGGCTGTCGTCCGCAATGCGGTGTGGAACAGCGGAACTGCAGTGGGCAAACCTCCCAGCAGCCTTTGTGAACCTGGGCAGTTGGACCTTCGCATCATTGCTGCTCTAACCATACTGTCACACTGTAACTACCACATCGTCATTCATCAAGCTTTTTTACCAAGCTCTCACATTTTTAGTTATAAATCATGATTTTTGTTCCATCATTTTCCGCGGAATTAAATATCATCTTAAAAATCTGTAAGTTTTCTGTTATTTTAACCATGAAGAGCCAGTGATGAATCGGCCCAAACTGTTACCACTCATTTTGACAGGTTTGATTGTTCCGCCATGTTTCACCACATTCCTAAATAAGGGCTGTAACGATATCTGCTGTTGCTAAATGATACGTAGCCCGCTGTTGCAGTTGTGATAAATACAGGGTTATTAATTAACCTAGCAAACCAGTTGGTGGAGACGTAATGGACATTCTAGGAGTGTTTATTTTTCTCTTTCCTCCTCAAATCTAAACCAGCTGATGAAAAAGGGCTTGTGATAATTTTTAGCCCTGTATAGAACCAAGAAGCAATATATACAAAGAAGCTTTAAGTCTGAATGAAAAAAAATAAAGACTGGAGACCCAGTAGAATGAAAAAATTTTGTTTGAGGTAATTAAGTAATCTAGAAAGTTCTTCGTATCTTCCTAACATGGAAGCATGGTAAAATAAACAAAAGTTTAGTGTACATCCTAGCGAAAGTGTTAACATGCAATGGCGAATCAATACAGCCTGTCATACAAGGTATGTTTCTACTCTCCCGTGCATAGTTCACTTTATTCTGTAACTACATCCTCTGCTTAGTATATTTCCTGTTGTATATGGACTTAGGAAGGCTATTGTGCCACTCAATGTATTCATAGATTAATCATTCCTTGCAGTGAATAAAATATATTTGGCATTTACTTCTGATGGTGCAGATTTTTTGTCAGGTTAATGTTTTCAACAATGGGAGTAACAGCTGTTTAAACTTGTGTATGCTGAAAATCTGAGTAAAACCAGGGCCGCTGAGCTGCTTTAATGGTCTTACTTGAAAAACGTGAGAAAAGGTAGTTGAAAAAGGTGAAGGTAGTCTGTTTTGTTGACATACCGAAAGATGTATAGTTGGACCCTGGATCAAAATATTTGTGGGCAAATGGCCTTTCTTTTACAGAAGGTTTGGTTCAGGTTTCTTCAGCTCATCTTTTCTGTGTTATTTTTGTTCTGATCTACTGAATTTACCTGATAGTTTTAACCGACTTTTTGTTATGGTACCAGTACCTGAGAAACTTGATTTGTACCTGAATTGAGAAGATGAGTTTGTAATTTATCGTTGGGGAGATGTTTGTTCCGAGGTTGTAGGGAATAATCTATCCATAGATTCACCAATCTGCTGATACTATTGGTGAAGTAGCATAGGGTCTTTCTTTCACCAAGGTTTGTTGAACTCCATACAAGAGTAATGGATTTACTTTTGAACACGAATTGCCTTCATTGGAAGTTCTGTTGCATGGCAGGAACTATGATTGTGGGTTCGAATCCGGCTTGCCCTGATTGTATCTTGGTTTGTCGGCACCATGGGTTTCACCCAAGTGGTAAATGCCTGAGACTTGTACTAGTTTATGTTAAGCTGCCACAAAGTGTCATTAAACCAAACTCCAGCATTGCATCCTGAACAGAATTCTCGTATGTAAGTTTGGACTTGCCACTATTAACCTTACCTTATATGGATGTAAGGAGTATAGAGGCATTTCAAACGAATATATGTGCATTTTGACACCAGCCAACGAACAGCAAATCTATGAATACATAATGAAACGTTATATTTGGGATTACACTTTCTCGGTAAAGTATAGATTCTAGTACTTTTGGCTGATTCCCATCAAGGGAACAAATCTGCCTTCCAGTGTAGGACATCCAGGCAGCATATCTTGCATGATGAGTACAAGGGATATTTTTTCAGTCCAACATAACGAACAGGAATCTAATGTCAGCACATACATTGGGAGAAAACTATTGGGGTTACGAATTTATACCATAGTTTACACATATCTGAGGTCGCTAACAGCTTTGCTTTTGCAGCACACAATGAAACGTTTAATCCAGAAAATACATTATCCAGTGAAATAATCTTAAGCCTATTAGTGGTGAACACAAATTCCCCATCCGGCTGCAGACGGTCCTGGTAGGAATGATTTGGGTAAAGGATACTTGACAAGCGGGCATGGTTGGAATTGCGTAGGAGCAGTTAGAAAGGCCAATACGTCAGGAATGGCGGGTACCCGTTGAAATGGTGGCCGTTAATTAAACAGCCTCTAAATGTGCTGTTGCTTCCGTTGGTCACAGATTCATCCCGAAATCTGCGACATCCTTGGCTTGCTGGTACCACCAAAATTCAGGGTCATTGTTACGTTGGGCTGTCACACAATACGAATCGGACTCACTCTCATATGTACAACAACAACAAAATTATCCTCGTGGAACTTTGTCCCACACGATATAAAGTCGATCAGCTTTGCACGTAATGGTTTGCCACACTGCTCGTTTGCAGACGATTGGATATGATTATCTCCCTTTGTAAATACACGCATACATGCAGGTTGTCAGGAATGTCATAATATTTTAAGAGTTCAACTTGGAAACTTTCTTAGTCATTGTCGATTTAAATTATATTTTAAACACTTTTGTTAAGAAGAAGTCAATTTGCTCTTCGAAATAGGGAGACATTTGGGGAAGAGAACGGTTATCTACTGAAGGTGAACTTTTGCTCAGGCTCCTAAGAGGCCGGGAGTGTTTTGAACGGTTTTGGTCTTGTTTATTTACATTCCATTGAGACTAAGACTTCTCTCGTCTCGTTTTCATTTTAGAACTAGTGTACTGTAGAGAACAACAAACTGGAGATTTCACGTAAATGATTGGGTCGTTCGTTCGTTGGCCACAGGTGTCCGTAACACACGCATCGCTATTTTAAATCGCTGTAATCCCAATCTAGTTCAGCAAGTTTATATAATTGTTCCATATAATTGGTAAATGTAATGTACAAAATTTAGCATTTAGAGGTATATTTTAAAGCAAGTGTCACGGGCTGAAATCATTGCCAACAAAGTTTCAGTGCACGAAAAAAATCCATGTCAGAAATAGAGGCATTATCTAACTTAGCAAGTGATGTACAGACAAGTCATGAAGTCTTGGGTATAAAGGCATTCACAGGTTGTCACGAATGGCATAATATTTTAAGAGTTCAACTTTGAAACTTTCTTAGTCATTGTCGATATAATTATATTTTAAACAGTTTTTGTTAAGAAGAAGTCAATTTGCTCTTCGAAATTATATATGCGATGCATGAAGTTAGCTCTGTTGCTCCTTTGAATTGTCAATGTTGGGTAACAGGTTACAGAAACCGCCAGCGCATATACCAGTGGTGCATTTGCAATGGCAGAAACCGTACGATATGATATGTTCTGTTCTTTGAGGAAATGTAAAAAAGTAATTTAGAAATAATAAACCTTTATTATTTTATGTCAACCTCCTGCAGAATTAAAATGTTTATAGTTTACAGTGTGCACGGCATTTGCTCACAACGTGTTACTGTACTTCAGAGACATGTTTTTTAATGCAAAATAGCTACCCTATTACTTACCGTGGACTGACAACCCTGTATCACATCTGGAGCTATATATTACAACTGACAACCCAGTATCACATCTCGAGATATTACCCTGGACTTAACATTACAACTGACCATCCTGTATCACATCTGGAGCTATGTAATATAAGTCTACTTGCTTACCAATCAAGATGCACATATTTTGTGAAATAAATATGCTCATAACAACATCTAAATCACGACGCACTGTGAGGAAGTCATATTTCAAATACATTTCACTATCAGAGAGTTAAACATCCTGCATTCATAGGTTGCATTTCTGACTGTTTTACTATATTAAATGCCAATGGCAGTTCAACAACTTGATATAATTCTGCCAATGCAACTGGCTTAACTCACCGACAATCGTCACCATAATCAGACTGTGGGGAGAGACTGGACAGACTCGTCTGTGTATGCAATTGAGATGACAAATACGATTTCATAATTATAAATTGCATTTGTCAAGTTACATCACATAAAGCGTTTAAAGTGACGTATGTAATGCTGCCATGTTGACATCACATTACATTACTGATTTTACTCAACTCTCCTAATCACATGGGGTCAGATTTCGAAAGTACCACAGCCGCCATGATAAGACAAATGTAATGCGTTATGTGAGATCTCCGTACAGGGTAACTCCAGCTAACTCGGCCAGCAGACATTGTACAGTGGCCATTAAATCTAATCTCTGCAGGCTCGCGTCTGTGCTATCCATCGCGTCTTTTGATCTCGTCACTGGTCAATTCAGATGACGCGATGACCAACATCGATATTTTACACAATGGACAGACCCTGCGGTTGCAACGCCCGAGGGAACGGTTGAGCTGTACAATAATCTCTTTTGTCCGGGTTCATGCGCGCGCATCTCGGTCATGGTTGAAGGCCACATGTCCCATTGTGAACACGGCCATCTGGGCTTGACACTAATTACATCCGTCCACTGTACAGACCGGTTTTATAATACCTGTTACATAAGTAATTAACACCATGCAATAAAGTATATGCCTACATGAATCAACGCTTTGAAAGGCAGACTGACACCGCGTGAAATTCAATAATCAAAAGTTTCCTTTCATCTCGGTTATTTTTCATTTGAAATTGCAGCTCTAGAAACCTAAATTATATTGATTCATTGTAAGTACCCGACATGCGAATAAATCATAATGTTGACAAGTTACAAAGACTTACATCATAAGCTTAATGCACATTACAGCGCCTGTATAACATAAGATTACCTTTAAAATAAATTAATTTCCTTATCTTTGTGAACAAAATAGATTTTTAGTGAGAAATCTATCCCAAATATTGATATATATCTCATCATTTTTCCTTTGTTAACACACATGTTCATGACTTTTAGTCGCTGTGTCACAGTTTATTTGAGTGACCTACAATCTTGTACCATTCCAAAACGCTCCTGCTATCCTGGCACTAGGAAGGTTCTGTTTGTCACGAAAATGTCCAGACTTGTACGAATTTCACATTTTATGAGAACAGTATTCTAAATATTCTAAAACATATACTGTCTGTGTCCTCCAAGCAGAAATAAAATGATCAACAAAATGTGTATTGTGATATTGTTCACATTGTCTCAAACAGAATGAATAACCATATATAGAGAACATTTAATATTGAATACGGAATAATAACACATTTACTTGGATATTTTTAGAAAGACTTAACTTCATTTATTAAAACAAACATATTGCTCGCAGCTTTATGAAAACAACCAAGCCAAAAAACACTTAACCCTAAAAAACATAACAGATGTAAAAGTCTCTATCACGACAATAAACAATTCACATATCTTTGTTATTTCACCACATCACACTTTCATGGATATATTTCTGAGCAAAAAAATTAAAAGACAACGTACGTGAATTGATTTACAATAAATCAAAGTACGAGCAAGGGTCATAAATCATGCATTACTAGTCTTATAAAAAAGAATATTGTTGAAATAATGTTTACTATTGACCCATTACTTTCAAATGAATGCACAAGGGGGAAAAGCAGTACATATTCATATTTTGCAACATGAGATGGATACATCAGTAGATAAAATCCATACAACAAACGGCAATTAGCTGCAAGGAGAAAAACTCTTTGATGATAACTGTTCCGGAAATAGACGACACCAACCGAATCGTTTTGGAAGCCCTCCGGAAAGTACCGAAGTGACCAATGACATCATACCACCGACTGCGCATGTCTGGTATTATAAGTAGGCTGATCGCTTTGTCTGCAGTTCATTCCTGTGCGTGAATCAGCCCAAGAAGTTAAACTGAATATGCCTGAGGTATGTAGAGCACGAAATTTATGTTAATATTGCTTTTAGATTTAACTTTACTATATGTTTTCAGCCTTTTTCGCAAGGGGAGTTGTAAATACATGTTCAAAGAGGCAAAAGGGATCTGTTTCTAGAACGATCGAATTTAGCAATGGCGTCGTTCTGCGTGTCTGTGTGCGGCCATGTTTTCTCAAACAAAGAAATAGTCATTTCAGAGTTGTGTGTCTGCTCCGTGTTTGAATTGGCTGGGCAAATTGAGTTCCGAAGACCTTATTGCACTTTATAATTAAAGGTTTTCGAGGATTGGCCTTTCATTTTAAGAGCGGTATCGAATATTTATATGGACCACGTGTTGTGCCCCATTTGCAATAATTTCCCCCAAAAATGGAACGTCAGTATGATGTACGCGATGATTAGTAGTCATTAGGCAGTAAATTGAAATGCTTGATGTATGTATGCATGACCGGTCAGATTTCGGCTTTTTGACCGATTTAAATGTTCCTGATTTGCAGTCATTGCCACATGCATGAAAAATAAAGACAACAAATCGGACGGCCTACAGATATTTTTCTTTATTCGAAAAATCAATCCGAGACTGAATTGTGTTCATGACTATTGTAAACATTCAGTCATGGTTTCTCTCGATCACTTCGATTGCTCTAAGATATGAAACTAATGGAAAATATATTTGTTGCAGTACGGAGGATTCGGTGGTGGTGGCCGCAGAGGAGGAGGACGTGGAGGTGGGGCCTGGGTACCTAAAGACCCAGAACACGAGCAATTCCGTAAGCTCTTCATTGGTGGTTTGAGCTATGAAACCACAGAAGAAAGCCTCAAGAACCACTTTGAACAATGGGGTTCAATTGTTGACTGTGTTGTAATGAGAGACCCAGAAACAAAGAGGTGCGTATGAGGAAAAGGCTTGCTGTAACTGAGGTTCAGAGTTAAAAGTAGTTTGTTCATAGATGTAACACCTTGGTTATGTTTGACCGAAGCGTGGGATTTTTGTCTTCATGTAGAATTTGTATTTAATCGGTACAATTTAAACTTGCCGAGACCTCTTTCTAATAATTGTCTTTCTGAAATAAGGTGTTCTGTTAATTAAGTAGAATATTACTTATATGTTGGCTTGTTTGGATATCTTCACAGGTCAAGAGGTTTTGGCTTCATCACATATAAAGAAGCTGCCATGGTTGATCTTGCCCAGGGAGAACGTCCCCACAAAATCGACGGACGTGAGGTCGAGTCAAAGAGGGCTATGCCACGGGAGGTAAGAAACATATTACCGAAGAAAAGTTTGGGGTTTTTCATTTTTTTTATTCATTTCAGATAGGTATATATTCAGACAGGGGAGTACACAACTCCATGTTAGGGCTAGATTCATTTTGGCAACAAAGAGTTACAAATTTTCAAAGTAAGAAAATATAGTTACTAGTGTAAAAGGTCAGGGTGCACACCACTCCAGCAACAGACTCCACGGGTTACAGGCATGTTCTAGCTAGTTATACATACATACATACATACATACATACATACATACATACATACATACATACATACATACATACATGTTCCATTTAATTGGTCTTGTAACATTGAATTCAGAAAGAAAACACCTACTTATTAAACCTTATTCCATTTACCTTTCTATAGCGGGACTCTGGTGGTCGCAGTGAATCTCAGCAATCTGTGAAGAAGATGTTTGTTGGTGGCATCAAGGATGATATGGAGGAGGAAGATCTAAGAGCAGTGTTTGAAGAATTTGGTGCAATCAACTCTATCGATATCATCAAGGACAAACAGACACAGAAGCTCAGGGGCTTTGCCTTCGTTTCGTTTGATGACCACGACAGTGTTGATAAGTGTGTTTGTAAGTATATTTTTGTTTACAAATATCTCTTGGAAACAATTGACATTAGCATTTCGGAAAAAATGTTTCAACTGCACCACAGTTGACTTTAGTTAAATGGTATTATTGCTATTATTGCAGTGAAAAAGCGTCATACTATCAAGGAAAAGGATGTTGAGGTGAAGAAGGCTCTTAGTAAGGAGCAACAAGAGCAAGGAAGCCGTGGTGGTGGAATGCGCGGTGGTCGGGGTGGAGGTCGTGGTGGGTACGGAGGAGGAGGCAGCAGCGGCTATGGGGGTGGTGACAGTAGCTATGGCCAAGGAGGCTACAATCAAGGTAAATTGTGATTCGCATCAGGTGTTGGCAAATGCTGATGAATCTTGAAATAGGTGTGTTGATTGCTTAAGCGAAATGCCACATACAAAACATGCAATAAAGAGATATGTCAGTTGATAGTTATTCATGTCCCAGCAATATGCCATAGTTTAATAGAGCATAATCATTTAGCTCTGTGGGTATTACACATGGGCATGTCATTTATTTAGTATAATTAATAACTTTTCAGGACCAGGTTCCATGGGTCGTGGTGGGCCTAACTATAACTGGTCTTCTAGGGGGTCACCAGGTTGGTAATCAATTCAGCTGAGCAAGTCGTACTCTTGTAGTCTGGGATGTAGTGTGGTCTTTGTTAATAGTGTAACAGATATTGACAACTTAAATGAGTGTATTGACAAATGCATGTTAAATATCATGATAAATATAGGTATTTTGTGTTGACAATGGTGTTTGTAGTAGGTGCCTGGCAGCAAAGCAGTAGTTTACATCCAATTTCAATCAATGCTACAATCATATCTGTTACCTACAGGAGGCTATGGCGGTGGCTATGGCAACCAAGGCGGTGGTGCAGGGTATGATGGAGGATATGGAGGTGGTGGCTATGGAGGCAGTCAGCAGGGAGGGAACTGGAATCAGGGTGGAGGCGGAAGCAGCTTTGGATCTGGCTATGGAGACAGCTATGGAGGTGGTGCCATGAGAGGTGGTGGTGGCGGCGGTGGCTACAATCAGAGATCCTCTGGTCCATACGGAGGTAGGTGTTGATTCCTCAACCATTCTGAAACACCACTAAGCAACGAGGTATTTCGATTTGTTTAGATGGTGACTTCTGCGAAAAGTAAAAATGGTGTCAGAAAAACCTACAACCTTTCAGTTTGAGTAGGTGAATGACCTCTGTTTATTATTTTATCAGGTGGTTATGGTAGTGGCGGTGGAGGAGGAGGCTACGGAGGTGGCAACTTTGGAGGAGGTGGCGGATACAACAGAAGATAAATCCCACTCTCACAAAAGGCTCTCCATGTAAGTATCTCATCCCATTCTCACCCAGTGTACATCATCCCAGTAACGAAGCTAAGTTCTTAAAGTGCCAAATAAGGTTTTCCTGTGTAAACTTCAGATGGTTATGATAGATTTAGAATATATTGAAGCACATTTACTAGTAATAAAAATGATTAAAAGATATTGATGATTTTGAGTTGTTATGACATTTACATATTTTGCATTATTTGATTGTACCAGGCAGGTTCTCATTAAGAAGCAGCATAAGGCAGGCAGGCAGGCAGACATAGATCAGGGATAAGTGTTTCCAGCAATTATGGTTACCATAGCACCATGTTACCATAGCTACAAGGAGGCAAGTGTCCACTATGGACATCAGAGACAGTAGCTTCAAGATAGACCCAAGACTGAAGGGAGAGTATAAGGAATTGAGGCGACCATACATGGATAGCTCTAAGCAAGAGTCACCTTGAGGATAGTTGGCGACTGTCTGTTGTAGCCGGTGTGGCTATGAGAGCGTAGTGCTAGAGCAGGCATAATGGACATTGCAAGGAGTATTTATTAGTGAACAACCTGAAATGAACTGTCCAAGATAGTCCAGCGGCTGGCTATCTTCCTGTTGCCAGAAGCTGTAGGGAGAGCAAGAAAATATTTTATTACATATATCATGAATCAAACCTGATCATATGCCATGGAAATCATCACATTGACCACCATTACATGAGACTATTCACTGTTTGTGCTATCTTTTTACTCATTTATTTGTAACAAATTGTGGGCAGTCTTAATAAAAGTGAAAACACCAGAAATAGAACTGTTATTCAGTGTCTTCAGTTTGTGTACATTGTGTTCGTGAAAGGCCAGAGATTTCACTTGGCAGCTGCAAACCATGGATCAGGGGAAGGAATGAAATGCATCACAACACAAGTATTGTTGGTTACATGCAGGTCAAACTCATCTGTGCTCTTTAGTTTATGTAGCTTCTCTGTATTGTCTGTTGATTTTAGCAGTTTGGAAGACTATCAAGTAGTGTTTCTTGGTATACTGCTGAAATTCTTCAGATCTGGTCAAGATACAGATAATGCACAGTGGATATATATGGGGAGCCAGGTTGGATGAGTCTCCATGCATGTTATTTGTGGATCAAGTGGCTAGAAATTGGTACATGTGATCATGCTAAAAGTATTCTTATAGATGAACAGAATGTTAATTTTCATTTTCGATGGAATATCCACTAGTTGATGGCTTTCTACATTGGGTCTAGATGTACCATATTTCTATGACACGGGTAAACTATTGTTAATGTTCATGTGCACGAATATTGTGGGGGTGGGTGAATGTTGTATGTTTTAGATGTGTGTTAGTTACCAGCTATATGTAACACTGGTCTCCTAGAGGTTACCTAGTGTAGGCAATCCTCCTTCAGCTCCAAATGCAGGCTAGATAGCACCAGCAAGTTAGCAATGCAGGAACGTCTATGTAGTAAGGTAAGGTAGGAGTTTGTTTTAGTGTTTACTGATTATTGGGCTCTTCATATGGATCAAGTTGAGTACACGTAAAAGTAAATGGGATGAAGTAATGCTTAAGGAATAATGAGAATATATTTCTAAGTATGTTTCATTATAGCTTCTTGTAATAGACTGAATTGTTTTGGTTTTTTGCCTGATCACCGGTTTCTTTTACCCATCTGATTAACACTGTAACCAGATTTCATAAACTACTAAAATTGGAATAATCATTCAATCTATTGAATTGTTACCTTTAATAATTGGAAGTTGTTTTAACATTCCACTATGCATATCTTCTAAATTACTATTAATGTTTTGACTTTGGTGGCACTTCAACATTGAGAAATCTTAAGTTTGTGGTCGAAATCTGGTTAAATGTCTTTCATTTCATTCTTTGCTGGCAATCATTCATGTCAGTTTTTTCTTCTAGGAACCCACAAACAAGCTGAAAACAATGACTTCTGTCATTGTCACTCGTTCGTAGACATTCATCAAACACAGGTAAAAACCAATATAATGAATTTGAAACTTTCTGTAAATATTCAGTTACTCAATTGAGATAACGGATGCAATTGTGTTCAGTTTTGGGTTATTGGAATTATTGTTTCCTGTTGTTAATTGCATGTTTTGCTTGTCAGGTTTGTACAGCAGTGGGTGGTGAACAATAACGTAAATCCTGCTGTTGGTCCAAGGATACAAGCTTGTGCAAGACCTGTCAATCCCAATCCTGTTGATACAAGCAGGGACAAGACAAGTTGCTCCGTGACAGCAAACCATTCCAAGAGGCACCAGGTCATCATTGGGTATTTGAATATATTGGGCTTCATTAGCCCTGTATGAACACCTGACATATAATAAATATTTTGACCTTGATAATGTGTTATGTTGTAGTCAAACTTGTTATCAGGAATTGCCTGAGCTGTGTTAGAAATAACCAGTTGTGAAAGGACTCACTCTATTTCATTATTTTCAAAAACTTGATTTGTATCCTGATGAATGGCATAAGACTGGCTAGAATGATCGATAATTGGAAATATTGTCGGAAAGATACTTATTCAGTATGAAAACGGTGTGATCGATATCATCATACCTTAATTTTTGTGGTAGAAAAAAAGTTGTAATTTTCTCAAAATATACGAATTAAGTTATTCATGGTCTGCTTCCCCATTATGTTCAGGACGTTCTATTGTTAATGAATCCATTTAAAAAAAAAAGTCAATACTCACCAGTGATGCAAAATACATGTATGTTCCTTTCCTTTAGCTAAACTTTAAAGGCATTTTTGCTCTGGTATTTATCGATAATTAATAGATATTTAATTACCGATTATCGATAGCCAGCTATGCCATTTTGAATGGTTGAGGGGTATAGTAATTTACCTTTTTATTAGACTTTTACCTTTCTTTAGGAGAGAACAAAGTTCACTTTTAAAAAGTAGCAGAGAGGTGGGGTAGCCCAATGGTTAAAGCGTTGGCTCATCACGCCGAAGACCCGGGTTCAAATCCCAACATGGGCACAATATGTGAAGCCCATTTCTAGTGTCCCCCTGCCATGATGTTGCTGGAATATTGCTGAGAGCGGCGTAAAACCAAACTCAGTCAGTTTAAACAGTACCCAGATGAAACACTGAACATGAAAGTATGGTGACAACAGCTTTTTAATCACAACACAATAGTGCATGGTATTCCTCTTCAACGCATTTTATTCTGACAAAGGTTACAAGGACTTTCGGTTAGTGTTATATAGTACTGTATCAACCCATTTGCCTCATGCAACTGAATGTCATCTGTGACATGTCCGGAATGGGGAACATTCCTGGAGTTGCGCCCCCTTGCCCGCTTGGAGCGCTGCGGTAGTTACGGTCCAACAGTAGCTGTCACTCTGATACTGGCCTGTCTATCGCTCAAGCCTAAACTTAAATCGACATTAAACCTACTTTTAACTCTGTGGTTCTTATATTACGAATTACGGAATCTGGAAGTTGTCCCGAATGACGACCGTTGTCAAAGCACGAGGAACTAGCGTGTCTGGACGAAAGATAATGCTAATAGAACGGTACTGCAGTTATTGTAATATTGCCGTTTCTCGGAATTTCTTATTGAGTAGTTCCTTTGTAAATTCGTCAAACAATTTACTCCCCATTATGTCACATTACACAGAGCATTAATGCGGTCGTAATAGTTGTTAGAACATAGGATTAGTGTACACTGAAATTAGCGCTGATCTGATTACGCATACAACATAAGTGCTTCAGTTTTCGTTCACGTAAACAACCTATTCTCATAGCCTATAACACTTTGGGGTGCAATGAAAAAAGGAAATGCTATGGCAACTGATCGTTTTCGAAAGGATTTGAAACATAAATCACTATCGAATTAACGACTCGCTTACAGTGTGTTCAACAAAATATATTTCACCCATTCACACGATTAATAAGCTTGCAACTTCCGGTTTATAGTTTCTACATACATATTTAATTAAAGGACCGTTCATATCTAATGGGGTGGGTGTTGGTGATGATTTTTATGGAGAAGCATGAACAAGTGGATACCACTGGCTTTTAGGAAGCTTACTCGCTTCAGGATTCTGCATGTAGTGGCTAAGCTAAGGTTTTTAACTTCAGATGACCAGGCTTGGACTGATTACTCTTGTCATCACCAGAAGACAGGGTTGTGCAACTTATGAGTCACTTCAGGGCGTTAAAACTCCCCACATGGCTACAATATGTGGAGCCCATTTCTGGTGTTCTCTGCCGTGATATTGCTGGTATAGCGTTAAAAGCGTCGTAAAATCATACTCGGGCCGTTACATCACAGTAGCCCAATGCATTCATTAAAGTACACCCCCTGGAACCCTGTACTGCAGGCGTCCAGTGATAGTGATTGGTGATTACGGACGTAAGTGCATCGGTTGATGAAATATCTTTTTTTTCTGTCCCCCGCCGCAACGCGGCGTACGTACGTCCCGATATTTGTTAACGCAATATCTCGTGAACTGTTGTACCCAATGTCTTAACATTTGGTGACAGCCTACATTAGGGGATTACGCAGACACCAGTTTATTTGGGTGACCTTGACCTTATCTTCAAGGTCACCACGACACTGACCGCTTTTCAAACTTATTTAAATTGCACCCAATGTTTTCAAGTATGTTGACAGCCTACATTGGGTGATTATGCAGACACCAGTCATTTTAGGCATTTTGTATGTGACCAAAATATAAAGTAGTAAATATAGATATTCCCTTTTTAGCGACGGGGGACATTGCCATATCAGTGGCAAACACTTGTTATTGTTACAAACAAATCTAAATTCCCAAATAAGCATAGTACATGCATGTGTAGGCATCAGTGCATCCCCATATCATTTTCAATGTAGGTTGGTGTAAAATTGAGAGAGTTATCGGCGAGTTAAGATTAGTAACATTCTGTAAAACATAGAAAAATATGCATTGTGTCAATATAAATTTACATGGGAGGAAATATAAAATGAAATATTTGTAACAGTTTAGTGCTCATTTGGGCCAATTTTCTAGTTATTTACTTAACTATTTTTAGAGAATTTATAAAAAATCGTGTACACGCTTCGAGTGATCGTGTTTTTTTGTTGCAGTTATCGGAGTTGGCGTTCACAATCACATGCGTCAGTGGTTTCATAACAACTACAACGATTGAAGTTAAACGCATTCATCTCAGCTTCTTTAGCACTGAAAGCGAAATAGAAGTAAATGCTATTAAAAAGGTCGAGCATGTTGATGACAAGGCGCTTACAGCCTGTACAATCTGTAACTATACAACAAACGTACCAAATACTACAAGACTCATGCAAGTTGTAGCCCTGTAGTTGTACTCCGCTCTCAGCAATATTCCAGCAATATCATGGCGGGGGACACCAGAAATGGGCTTCACACATTGTGCCCATGTGGGGAATCGAACCCGGAATGAACAAACGCTATAACCAATAGGCTAACCCACAAGGAAATGACTGGTCATTTTCGTGCAGAGCATAGCTAGGTTTGCATTGTTACAACTCAGCTAATGAAGGTAAACGTGGAACAAATTCCTGGTCTTATTTCAGTGAACCCGCTTCCATAACTAGCCATATTTCGCTTTCATATAAGAAGTCCCTGATACAAACTGCCTCGAATGTCTAATCAAAATTCTGAAAGCGATATATTGTGTTCAACTGAAACATACCTTGATGATTCTGTAAGCACAAATTATTTGAAATTAGACCTTATATTCTTGTTTTAGAAAGGGTAGATGTATCAATGAATATATTTCATAATTTTACGTTAAACGAAGAGCAGATTTAGAGTCATACATCTATGGAAATATGCATTCGTAGGCTTTCCTGCCACAGAAGAGTGTATCATTATGCGCACCGTACAGGCCACCTAACACCCTTGTGTTATACTGGGATCAAGAACATCGTACAGGCCACCTAACACCCTTGTGTTATACTGGGATCAAGAACATCGTACAGGCCACCTAACACCCTTGTGTTATACTGGGATCAAGAAGAACGTACAGGCCACCTAACACCCTTGTGTTATACTGGGATCAAGAAGAACGTACAGGCCACCTAACACCCTTGTGTTATACTGGGATCAAGAAGAACGTACAGGCCACCTAACACCCTTGTGTTATACTGGGATCAAGAAGAACGTACAGGCCACCTAACACCCTTGTGTTATACTGGGATCAAGAACATCGTACAGGCCACCTAACACCCTTGTGTTATACTGGGATCAAGAAGAACGTACAGGCCACCTAACACCCGGTGTTATACTGGGATCAAGAACATCGTACAGGCCACCTAACACCCTTGTGTCATACTGGGATCAAGAAGAACGTACAGGCCACCTATACTGGGATCAAGAAGACACCCACCTGTGTTATACTGGGATCAAGAAGAACGTACAGGCCACCTAACACCCGGTGTTATACTGGGATCAAGAAGAACGTACAGGCCACCTAACACCCTTGTGTTATACTGGGATCAAGAAGAACGTACAGGCCACCTAACACCCGGTGTTATACTGGGATCAAGAAGAACGTACAGGCCACCTAACACCCTTGTGTTATACTGGGGTCAAGAAGAACATTCACTTGAAATTGCGCTAGATTATACGCCGTATCTTGCTCGACTTGGTGATTTTAGTGAAGATTTTGCTCAGCCTAAAAAGCTCGATCTCATATAAGATTTAGGTATAATACGTATTTTAGTCATTTATTGGTATTTTATAACTGGAAGTATGAATTAGCAGCTGCGATTGTTAGTGGCAGTATCCTTAAAGGAGTTTGAAGTACCGTAAAAATATTGTCCTGAGAGGATACATTCTTTCAAAGTATATTATATTTTCTATTCGCACAATATGTGTGTCGTTTCAACTTTGGCCAACATCTGAAGAGACTATGTTAGCTAGGGTCCGTGCAGGTAGCAAAAGGATTGTGAGTCCCCTGGGTCTCTTGTGTGGTGATATAGCGCGATATAGCCTGTTTTTATATTGTACTGTCTTCAAAAGTGAAATAGTTTTCGATTTTCATGCTACTTTTAAACACAAACTGTGATACTCTAGTTATTTTACAGTTCTTTGATGAGTGGATGTTTAACACCATTTGTTCATTATACATGCCGCACCTTTCGTCACTATATGGCGTTAAACTTTTACTCCTTCATTTTAATTTATGGCTAGAATGTCTAAAATTGCTACTAGCTGAAAGAATGGTGTAAATCCAGCTTGGGTCCATGCTTAGAATAATAATACGACCGAAGGTACGAGTGAAGAAAAAACCCGGAGAGTGGCATCATGTTCAGTCTTTGCACCACATTCACCCGTGGTACTTAGAACAGATATTTCAATGGTCTCCAATTTCCATCACCTGTTTTCACCATTTCTTTTATGGGGCTAGAAGTTTTTAAAGGAACCTTCAATAGTGATTTTGACGGATTGCAAATGCTTAATGTCATCTTAGATTCTTCTAGTTTATGTGGCACAATGTCAAACAGGGTGGGAAGATATTGGTATCTGGCTTTACTTTCGTTATATTTCACGTTCAGCATCTTAATTTTGGTGTCTCAGTGGAACTGAATACAATAGTCTACAGTTTCCTCGAAAGTGCCCCTTGCTGGACAATAACCACACCTTACAGTATCCTCCATGATACTGATCTGAAATTGATAACAATTGCTCTTTTGAAATTCAGTTAATCAACTATTTTGGTACTTTCATACAAATATAATTAATTTCGTACAGAAAGTCACTCACACTTCAAGTTTTTTAAAATCACGATCACTGTTGTGTACAGATCACGACCACTGCGAAGTATGTACAATTTGATTTATTTACAATAACTTTTCACAGAGTGAGTGAAAGGCTCCTAAATTTAGACAATGTCTTTTGTGAAGCCAAATATTCGAGATTCAGTAAGTATTTGGTCAATATGGTTCCCGGTATTTACATAAATTATCAAATAAGACTTTATTGTCACCACCCCGACCAGTAAACCACATGGCTACAGACATATACGTCAGCAATGGGTTAAAGTAAGGACAAATATGAGAGGACCATATATACATCAGTCCAAAGTAATCACTGTGTATCACACATATGTTACTTCAAAGCTCCAATTTTTACACACTTGCCGCAAATATTCTCGAAAATGCGATCACTGTCACTGGCGCGCTCGCTGTACAGAATCACTATCACTGGACCCCTGCAGTACAGGGTTCCAGGGGGTGGGTAGTATAGGAAGTACACACTGGACATAAAACAGTCAGGGGGCCATTCTGGGCGGTCAAGACAATGGATACATGTAAGAAATATAATCAGTGAATAGATCTTTATTCAAAGAACGAGAACATACACATGTATAAAAACGATGTAATGTCCAGTTTATCTGTGCACTGAATGGACATAATTTGTAGGGGTGGTGCTATAACCAGAAAGTAAGAAGCATGGGATACTACCGCTGCAGTCTACCAATCAGGGATTTTGTTGCACCAGCAAAGAGGTTATAATCTAGTCTTGTTATCACCATTTAGAGGACACGGATAATAGCTGAATCCTTTGTGAAAAGCTTTCGGATGTTTCCAATGTTTCTGAGGAGTAGGAAGCATGTCCTGTACAATATGGTAATGTGCTGGTCCAATGACAGCTCTGGTCCTCTGGTCACGCCAAGGTCCTTAACACTGTTAGAAAGTGGAACAGTGGTTTCGCCGAAGTCAAACGACTTGATGTTGGTCTGTTCTCGGCGAGCTGTACCATCATAGATGGTGTGATAGACCGACCAGTATACCTCAAGTGTCACAACTATCGGACCCTAGTCTCTCGTACAGACCCTGAAGCAAATATATCCAAGAAAGCCCACACAAGTCTAGAAAATGTGGCAAGTCTAGTTTTCCTCAGCTTCAGGAAATGAAGAAAGTCTCTGGGCTCCTTTTCATTATATATTTTTTTTGTTACTATGAACTTTTTTCAGTAAAATATGTTCATTTCAGAGATTAGTTGTTAGTCTAATCGGACCCGTGAAGGTCCGGGTTAGAATATTGGCCCTCAGTAACCCTTGCTTGTCGTAAGAGGCGACTAACGGGATCGGGTGGTCAGGGTCGCTGACTTGGTTGACACATGTCATCGGTTCCCATTTGCGCAGATCGATGCTCATGCTGTTGATCACCGGATTGTCTGGTCCAGACTCCATTATTTACAGACCGCCGCCATATAGCTGGAATATTGCTGAGTGTGGCGTAAAACTAAACTCACTCATTCACAACTATCGAGCAAGTGTTGGTATGATAGACCGACCCAGTATACCTCAAATATAAGTATGGAGCATCAGATGGTATAATAGGCCGACCCAGTCTACCTCAAATGCCATGGAGGCAATGGAGAACTGTTCTGTTCACAGATGAGAGTCGGTACTGCGTATCAACTGCAGATGGCAGAACAAGAATATGGCGACGACGTGGCCAGCGTTACTCCGACCAATGTGTTATGGAAAGAGACCCATGGGGAGGTGCAAGCATCATGGTATGGGGTGGAATAGGCCTGAACCAGAGAGTGGGTCATGTGGTGTTCCAGAACCTTGGTCCAGGGAGAGGAGGTGGCATCACAGCGGTGCGCTACATCGACCAAGCTCTCAGACCCCTCGCCATACCAAATTTCGCACGTCACCGGAACAACAATTTCCAGCATGATAACGCCCGGGCCCATACTGCTAGACTGACTGACTGAGTTTGGTTTTACGCCGCTTTTAGCAATATTCCAGCAATATCACGGCGGGGGACACCAGAAATGGGCTTTACACATTGTACCCATGTGGGGATTCGAACCCGGGTCTTCGGCGTGACGAGCCAACGCTTTAACCACTAGACTACCCCACCGCCCCATACTGCTAGAGCTACACGGGACTTCCTACAGCACAACGGTGTCAACATTATGCAGTGGCCAGCCCTTAGTCCTGATTTAAACCCAATTGAACATCTTTGGGATGAAATTCAGAGGAGACTGAATAATGTCATCCCAAGGCCGAACACAGCCGATTTATTGCGGCAGGCCTTTCTCAGAGTGTGGTTCAAGATGCCAATGGCCTTCATCAATCGATTGGTCAACTCCACGCATAGACGCCGTGCTGCAGTTATTGCCGCTCGTGGTGGTCACACTAGATACTGAAGTCAAGAGTCTGAATGGACTGCAAACATTCACGTACTGTCTTGAGTTATTCATTGATGTGTCAAGATATTGTACACAAAAAAATAAATTTCTGTAATGATTTGATTACAGTGCCTATCTAATTTTGAATTCGTACTGACGTTTTTTTTCTTCTGCTGAGCATATATATCTTTAACCCCCATCTACAATACCATTTAATCATTTTTTGCTTCATGGTTATTTATATAACGCACTTCTGCTTTCGATTCTTCTGTTTTTCTATCGAACATGCTTATTCATTTAAGGTGATACCTCAGATGGTCTATGGTTACTTGACACATATCCTTTGAAACGATGCACTTACTCCTATATTATGATCACACTCGTGAATCTTGAGGAGACCGTTAGCTGTGGCACCCAGTATTGTAGCAATACAGTCGCCTGTGTTTGTTTCTGTTTTGACACGAAAACACAAAACTGTGGAATCGTCACTGTTAGTTAATTCAGTAATATTAGTTATCTAGCCAAGTTCATTCATTATAAGCAGTAAGGTTACAGGGTATGATGACAAAAGGAAGGAAAGCATGAATTGGCATTCCTGTCTGTGCGTGAGCGTGCGTTCGTTGGTGCATGTGCGTAGTGTTTTATATTGCTCAACAATACTTATGTATTCAGTACTGAATTTTCTCAATGATATGTCTGCACGTACTACATAAAATGTTTGTTTCCTCTTCAGAGGAGTTAATAATTAATCTCGATATCTGGCACAGCGTTGCCCGCTTCCCTCCACATCTCCCTCCTGCTGCCCCCTTTCGTCCTGCGACGTTGAACACATTTCAGGACACCTGCCATCCAATTTCATAGCAGGGATAATCTACAGCGTCTTCTATTCTCCCTGATAATAGTGAAGTATATTGGCAGCACACATACCTCCAGCATCTTCAGTCGGGCCAAGTAACCCGCTACAATTCATTCTCTGAGGTCAGGGAAATATATTGAGAGAGCAGCACACAAGCCCGACCAAACATAAATTCAATGCCTTCAATCGGGCAACGTTACTGTTACGATTCATACACTGAGGTCTTGAAAATATATTGAGAGCAGCATTCATGAGGTGATGAACCCTTCGGTATCCACGCTCTAGGGCAGCCGTGTCTTGATAAACACAGGGATGAGATGGACTCAGGATATGACGCAACAACCTCTGCTGTGCGAGTCCTCATCACGTGGTAATGTGGACCGGTATCTATTGTGGGGCGCGGCATGAATGTATTCCAAGGGGTCCGGCCTGTTGACCTGGGGTTTGGGGAAGAGGTCAGTATCGGCTTGACCTTTGGTGATAAAACTGGAACAAAGAAAATAATGGTTGTTGTTTAACGCCGAACTCAGCAATATTCCACCTACACGACGGAGGTCTGTAAATATACAAGTCTGGACCACACCATCCAGTGATCGGGTATTTTTACATGCACAAATCAAATCCGCAAGCCTGAATACCCGATTCCGCCAGTGGGCTCTTACGACTGGGCTGATAAAGGCCAGTTGTATTAAGACGTTCTTCGCGAGGCCCTTAGAACCGTTCGCTACCACCATATTGAAATATCCGCAGCAAGTGCATGTAATCAGATTGCACTAGAGAGCTAGATAAATCCAATGCTAAGTTAGAATAGGAAAGCACGTCATGGTGAATGGTGAATTGTTCCAGCTACTCATTACTCACTGGAAAAAGAAAATCTTCCGTTTTAGTTGATCTCAACTCAAATAACTGTTCTATTCCCAATTATCTATTTTCAAAATGTCTTATATTAGCTATAATATATAAAAAAGACGACTGTGCTGATGCTTACCGTAGCTAGCACTCAAACACAACCTTCTTCACGGATTTACTTTATGTAATACAAGTATATTTAAACTATATAAAAACCTATTTTTAAATAGAAAAATAACATATCGCATAATACATTGTTCTTGATGGGTATTTGTCAATCCATAACTAAAATGATTGCGGAAAAATTTCAAACATTCCAAACAGTTGAGTGTCATGAGGCTGCAGATTCATTTCTTCCACCAGTCAGATCTGCATGGAACTTATTTATTATACACAAAGTTACATAACCACAGACCAATCTTTACAGACTGTTGCAGCAATGAGTGATTATTAAATGAAATAATTTAACAGAACGTTTTTCAATTTTCAGTTACACACAAAACAAACTCTGCATACTTTTTTTCACTCCTCTGGTCATAATAGAAAGGAGATATACATGTACATTGATAATCCAGTCGGTACACCCATGGTCTGGTCTGGGATCTTGCAGTAACCATCGGGGGCTAGACCAGATTGGACTGATTGAAAAACGCCACGATATACACTAATATATGTTACTAAAGACTGCATGTTATGTAGAGGAAAGTTCGTTCACTCTGTACTGAAAATTAATATGCAGACAAAGAGATTCACGAGCACCGTGTCCCTACCTGTAACTCTGCTCCTGGCCTTCCATCCCTAATGGCTTCAGGACTCCGCCAGACGTGCCTGCCGTTGATACTACCTGGTAATCCACAGTGGCGTCCGAATAAGACGGAGGGGCATTGATATAGGGAGCGCTTGGTTCGTTCAGCATCCCCTCAAATCCGACTTGTGACACGCCATGTCCTCCTTGTGGCGTCTGTGGCCACACACCCACGGAAGATCCGACAGACTGAGGGGTAGAGTTGTCGGACCCGGGAGCAGACGACACCATTACTCGGGCACCACCGGGAGTTCCTAGAATTCCATAGTAGTTCCCTACCGGAAATGCCGATGGCGTATTCATCATCATGTTTGTTGAATTCATTGGGGCGTTCAGTTGATTTAGAAGCAATAGCTCTGCCGGTGAAAGGTTAGATCGGCCATGACCAGTACGATTGCCATGGCTAAAGAGGCTGGTGTGGCCAAAATGGTTGCCATGGCCAATATGGCTCCTATGACCAAAAAGACCGCCATGACCAAAATTACTGCGATGACCAAAATGGCCGCCATGGCCAAAATGGCTTCTGTGACCAAGTCCATGTCTTCGTCCGTGTCTCGGCATTGTTCACTAGGTCCTCCTCTGTGACTGATTGTTAATGTCAGTTCGTAAAACGAGTAAATATTGATGAAAGGTCCACTATGATTGGGAAGTTTCTGTAAATCATACACAATACCAGGCAGTTTCTGTTGAACACTGTAATAACCTCGTGTATTCACTGAGTAGCCCAAGTCATCAACAAAGGACAGCGTCATCTCGTTTTCCAGGTGAAACAATCACATCTTCACGGTTCCCGACGCTAAACCGACCCATTTAAGACAAGGGCGTCTGTTTACTGCAAACCCCGACTCGTCAGCCTCAGCTGTTAACATAATCGGCCGAGTTACGCAATTCGCTCTATCTTTCGAAATCAAAACCAGTATATGACGCTAGGGAATATTTCACAACACAGCCGTGTTGTATTTGCAGTAACCAAGCCATCGTTTACCCAAAGGCAGATGTGACTCAGGTCGTGGTCACATATCAATTTCCAGTAAGCAAACATTTTCCTGCTTGTGTAAGTCACGTACTACGTTCATACGGTGGAAGGTAGTCGTACTGAGTTGTTGTGGTTTTAAAGGTGTGGTGCAGGTTTCACAGGAGTATATGAACCGCAGCTGGCAAACGAATACACGGATGGGTGAGTCGATGGGATTAGTTTGTCCCTGTTCTCCTGGCATAAAACGTTTTCAAAACAAATGTGACAGAGGCATGGAACTTTAAGACTACCAAAACAGTCAAAACTCGAGACACAAGAATAAAAAGAACAACAGCGGCTGCTCTGTTGATTGCCTGAATCAAATACGTCGATGTCAGTGGTGAAGCGATTGTCCACAATTAGGTATCAGGCATTTAGAAGTGATACACTTTATGGATGTCAACTGACCAAGAAGTAAGGATGTACAAAAATGTACTCCCAAACGTTGTGTTCGAGGGTCGGTCAAAAAGTAGTCGGCCTAACTATATTCTCGATGTCCAATGTTTGAAAAGCTTCCATTTGATTTTGAAGGAATCATTAGCAAAGCCACATTCCAAATTTCACCTATGTGGGTAATGTGGTTACGAGATATTAGTCACCACAACACATTGGGGTATACTATTTCTTTAAAAATTGCAGAAAATGAAAAACGATCTGTCACTTAGCATGGTATACCCTCAGACAGTATCATATATAATATGTTCAGTATAGTATTGGATGACTTCTCGTCATAATCAACGTTCAAAGATTTGGACTGCTTGATTTATATATAGACAGGGACAGTTTTTTAAGGACAACCCCATTTTAGTCTTTCAAAAACATGGTGTCCAGATATTCAAGCTGCCCCTTTTTACAATATATTGAGAGCTGACACTTGTGTGACCATTCAGTATTTAGTTTGAACCCTTGCATCATGCATGAATAGTGAGTGAGTGACTTTAGTTTTACGCCGCTCATGTATGAATAAGTGAAAATATTAGAATAAGTAATGTCCTTATGATTACGTCATCTCATTGGATGGTCAGACTCGCTGACTTGGTGGACACAATGTGATGTCATCGTACCCCAGTTGTGTAGATCAATGCTCATGATTTTGATCACCCGGACGTACATTGCAACATCGTTAACAGGGAATACCCCGTCCACAGTGAACTCAACCAGGTTTATAGTAAAACCCCGTTGATCCGGACTACCCCAACGCGAGTGAACTCAATCAGGTTCATAATTGAACCTCGTTGACCCACACTGCCTCAAGTGACCTTAACTGGATTTGTAGTGGAACCTCGTTGACCCGGACTACACCGTTCCTTGGAACATAAGCATAAGTTGTCAATTGAACAATATGGAAATTAGAATTTTTGTATTAAATTTTCACATGTCAGTTATTCTTACGTATAATAAATTATTATTTGTATGAGGTTTCAAAGTAATTCGTAGCGGAGTGTCATCTGAAACAGAATTTTATGTTTGACCTTGCTGTCGTTAATACTCTGTCATTTTGTTTATTTCTGATTAATAAACTTGCTATAGTCGCAATGTATTATATACCCGTGAAGATCCGGGTTAGGGACCGTTCATAATTTATGGCTAGGGGGTTGATGATGTGCAATTTTGCACATAAAAATATGTTTAATATTATGCTTAGAAAGTATGGGAGAAGGGTTCATTGATTTTGTACATGACATGCAAGGGGGGGTTCACTTATATTGTACATAAATTTGGGGGAGGTCATTCACATTGTTCATACTTCTCCATAAAAATCATCACACACACACACACACACACACACACACACACACACACACACACACACCTAGCCATAAATTTTGAACGGTCCCTTAGAATTGGTCTTCAGCAACCAATGCTTAAACGGGATTTGGTGGTCAGGTTCGCGGACTTGCTTGACACATGTCATTGAATCCAAATCATTGATTGATGCTCATACTGTTCACCACTAGGTTGTCTCGTACAGACTCGATTATTTACAGACCGTCGCCATGTAGCTGGAATGTTGCTGCGTGCGGCGTAAAACAACAAACAAACATGAAGTGGATGGGGTTATGCTGACTGCGAACCAACCGTTATCCCAGCAACGAAACCCATAATACACTTCATGTATAAGTGGGAACATTGTTACAACACACGATGAATGGTGGCTGGCCCGTCCAAGGGACGCAATTCTGCACAGCGAATTGCAGTACTGAGCCGATCGGAGCAGATCTGGATGAAACACAGCGTCAATAGAACCGTCTGTACTAGACTAACAACTAGTCTCTGAAATGAACATAATTTACAGGAAAAAAAGCTCATAGTAAAAAACTTAAAATACAATGAAAAAGAGCCCTGAGACTTTCTTCATTTTCATGAGGTATTTAAAGCAATTCTATAAGGTATTTAACCCGACACAATACGGACACTATAAGGTATTTAACCCGACACAATAAGGTATTTAACCCGACACTATAAGATATTTAACCCAACACTATCAGGTATTTAACCCGACACTATATGGTATTCAACCCGACACTTTCAGGTATTCAACCGACACTATCAGGTATTTAACCTAACACTATCAGGTATTCAACCCTACGCTATAAGGTATTTAACCCGACACTATATGGTATTTAAACCGACACTATCGGGTATTTTACCCGACACTATATGGTATTCAACCCGACACTATATGGTATTTAACCCGACACTATCAGGTATTTAACCCGACACTATATGGTATTTAACCCGACACTATATGGTATTCAACCCGACACTATATGGTATTCAACCCGAAGCTATGAAGTATTTAACCTGACACTATAAGGTATTTAACCCGACACTATATGGTATTTAAACTGGCGTTATAAGGTATTTAACCCGACACTATATGGTATTCAACCCGAAGCTATGAGGTATTTAACCCGACGCTATAAGGTATTTAACCCGACACTATCAGGTATTTAACCCGACACTATCAGGTATTTAACCCGACACTATCAGGTATTTAACCCGACACTATATGGTATTCACCCGACACTATCAGGTATTTAACCCGACACTATATGGTATTTAACCCGACACTATATGGTATTTAAACTGGCGTTATAAGGTATTTAACCCGACACTATATGGTATTCAACCCGAAGCTATGAGGTATTTAACCCGACGCTATCAGGTATTTAACCCGACACTATCAGGTATTTAACCCGACACTATATGGTATTCACCCGACACTATCAGGTATTTAACCCGAAACTATATGGTATTTAACCCGACACTATATGGTATTCAACCCGAAGCTATGAGGTATTTAACCCGACGCTATAAGGTATTTAACCCAATACTATATGGTATTTAACCTGACACTATCAGGTATTTAACCCGACACTATATGGTATTCAACCCGACACTATCAGGTATTTAACCCAACACTATCAGGTATTTAACCCGACACTATCAGGTATTTAACCCGAAACTATATGGTATTTAACCCGACACTATATGGTATTTAACCCGACACTATAAGGTATTTAACCCAATACTATATGGTATTTAACCTGACACTATCAGGTATTTAACCCAACACTATATGGTATTCAACCCGACACTATATGGTATTTTAACCCAACACTATCAGGTATTTAACCTGACACTATCAGGTATTTAACCCAACACTATATGGTATTCAACCCGACACTATATGGTATTTAACCCGACACTATATGGTATTCAACCCGACACTATATGGTATTCAACCCGACACTATATGGTTTTTAACCCGACACTATAAGGTATTTAACCCGACACTCTATGGTATTTAACCCGACTCTATATGGTATTTAACCCGACACTATATGGTATTCAACCCGAAGCTATGATGTATTTAACCCGACACTATAAGGTATTTAACCCGACACTATATGGTATTTAAACTGACGTTATAAGGTATTTAACCCGACACTATATGGTATTCAACCCGAAGCTATGAGGTATTTAACCCGACACTATAAGGTATTTAACCCGACACTATCAGGTATTTAACCCGACACTATATGGTATTCAACCCGACACTATCAGGTATTTAACCCGACACTATATGGTATTTAACCCGACACTATCAGGTATTTAACCCAACACTATCAGGTATTTAACCCGACAATATATGGTATTCAACCCGACACTATCAGGTATTTAACCCGACACTATCAGGTATTTAACCCGACACTATCAGGTATTTAACCCAAAACTATATGGTATTTAACCCGACACTATATGGTATTTAACCCGACACTATAAGGTATTTAACCCAATACTATATGGTATTTAACCCGACACTATCAGGTATTCAACCCGACACTATATGGTATTTTAACCCAACACTATCAGGTATTTAACCTGACACTATCAGGTATTTAACCCAACACTATATGGTATTCAACCCGACACTATATGGTATTTAACCCGACACTATATGGTATTCAACCCGACACTATATGGTATTCAACCCGACACTATATGGTTTTTAACCCGACACTATAAGGTATTTAACCCGACACTCTATGGTATTTAACCCGACTCTATATGGTATTTAACCCGACACTATATGGTATTCAACCCGAAGGTATGATGTATTTAACCCGACACTATAAGGTATTTAACCCGACACTATATGGTATTTAAACTGACGTTATAAGGTATTTAACCCGACACTATATGGTATTCAACCCGAAGCTATCAGGTATTCAACCCGACACTATATGGTATTTTAACCCAACACTATCAGGTATTTAACCTGACACTATCAGGTATTTAACCCAACACTATATGGTATTCAACCCGTTAACTATATGGTATTTAACCCGACACTATATGGTATTCAACCCGACACTATATGGTATTATGGTAACCCGACATGGTATTTAACCCGACTATATGGTATTTAACCCGACACTATATGGTATTCAACCCGAAGGTATGATGTATTTAACCCGACACTATAAGGTATTTAACCCGACACTATATGGTATTTAAACTGGCGTTATAAGGTATTTAACCCTATACCCGACTATATGGTATTCAACCCGACACTATCAGGTATTCAACCCGACACTATATGGTATTTTTTAACCCGACAACACTATCAGGTATTTAACCTGACACTATCAGGTATTTAACCCAACACTATATGGTATTCAACCCGACACTATATGGTATTTAACCCGACACTATATGGTATTCAACCCGACACTATATGGTATTCAACCCGACACTATATGGTTTTTAACCCGACACTATAAGGTATTTAACCCGACACTCTATGGTATTTAACCCGACACTATATGGTATTTAACCCGACACTATATGGTATTCAACCCGACACTATAAGCTATGGTATGTATTTAACCCGACACTATAAGGTATTTAACCCGACACTATATGGTATTTAAACTGACGTTATAAGGTATTTAACCCGACACTATATGGTATTCAACCCGAAGCTATGAGGTATTTAACCCGACGCTATAAGGTATTTAACCCGACACTATCAGGTATTTAACCCGACACTATATGGTATTCAACCCGACACTATCAGGTATTTAACCCGACACTATATGGTATTTAACCCGACACTATCAGGTATTTAACCCGACACTATCAGGTATTTAACCCGACACTATATGGTATTCAACCCGACACTATCAGGTATTTAACCCGACACTATAAGGTATTTAACCCGACACTATATGGTATTTAATCCGACGCTATATGGTATTCAACCCGAAGCTATGAAGTATTTAACCCGATGCTACATGCAGACAATTTCTTATGCTTATTTCTTCATCACAATCTGCCATGTTTACACCCTCCATGACAGATTGTACATGCGACCTACATATGTTTCCTTAAGTGTCTCCTTTACCCTGTTGTCAGTTTGAAGGCTACATCATATATAAATATAAACAGCGAGGAGCCTCGTTTCCGCGGCATGTTAGAAGGAAGTAATATCTCTGCGGACGTGAAATTCACCTAATTCACCTCGTCACATGGGCACTCGACACACGCCCCCTACTCAAGACTGTACATGTCAGGGCTCCTCGCAGCATCTCTGAATGGACATTAACACCGTGGATTTCACAACTTCCAGCAACGTCGGTATCACTGATCAAAGTCTCCAACATCGCACTTAGCGAGCCGTGTGCAAAACCCACCCCTTTTACATACAGCCCTTGCGTGTATGAGCAGTTGACACTGGGAAACCTACCAACATGGACACTAGTCAGTGAGTATTTAGTCGTGCAACAATGAACAGTCTATGAGACATGTGGTTACAAATAGTGTGGTAGACCCTGTCGCTCGCCTTGTCATGTTGTCACATCATCACGTCCTTCATGACACCTCTTGTCTCTTTCAAAACATGATCCGTGGAGGTATCGTATAAATTGAAATCCCAGTAATTTAAAACGTTAATAGAGAGAGGTAATGGAATATCAGTTGCCTAGCCTGTCGCAAAACATGATGTTTGATAACATGCAGGATAAACAGTTATGTTGGACGAAAGAGACCTCAGTATAACATGCTGATGTAGGATTATATATCACGACGGTATAACATGCTGATGTAGGATTATATACACCACAGTATAACATGCTGATGTAGGATTATATACACCACGGTATAACATGCTGATGTAGGATTATATACACCACTGTATTACATGCTGATGTAGGCTTATATCTACCACAGTATAACATGCTGATGTAGGATTATATCTACTACCGTATAACATGCACTGATATAGGATTATATCTACTACCGTATAACATGCTGATGTAGGATTATATCTACTACCGTATAACATGCTGATATAGGATTATATCTACTACCGTATAACATGCTGATGTAGGATTATATACACCACTGTATTACATGCTGATGTAGGATTATATCTACCACAGTATAACATGCTGATGTAGGATTATATCTACCACCGTATAACATGCTGATATAGGATTATATCTACTACCGTATAACATGCTGATGTAGGATTATATCTACTACCGTATAACATGCTGATGTAGGATTATATCTACTACCGTATAACATGCTGATGTAGGATTATATCTTTAACAGTATAACATGCTGATGTAGGATTATATCTACTACCGTATAACATGCTGATGTAGGATTATATCTTCCACAGTGTAACATGCTGATGTAGGATTATATATACCACAATATAGGCGGACGTGGGATTATATCTTCCACAGTGTAACATGCTGATGTAGGATTATATGTACCACGATATAGGTGGAGGGAGGATTATATCTTCCACGGTGTAACATGCTGATGTAATATTATATATAATAGAGCATAACAAGCTGACGTAATATTGTATATGATACAGTATAACATGCTGACGTAAATAAAAGATATTATACGAGTGTCCATGCCATACTATGTTTACGACACGAGTGGATAATGTTGGTATTTCCCGAGCGAGAGCGAGGGATATACCGATATTTAGGCACGAGTGTCGTAAACATAGTATGATATGGGCACGAATATAATATTCTGTTTATTACCGAAGTCGTCAAATTGAGGAAAACAATCCCAAATCTACTGCTTTCAAACATAGGCTGGCTACCGGCGTCGCCGCATGTAGAACGCAACGTCATAGAAGAAACGTGACGTCATAGCATTGTTCATGACGTCGCGTCACCATGGCAAAGTAATATTTTGCCCTAGGGCATCGTATGAAAAATATGAACCCCGATATGTTCGCCCTCGTCGGTAATAATATTATATATAATACAGCATAACATGCTGAAGTAATATTGTATATAATACAGTATAACATGCTGACGTGGGGAAATGTACACCACAGTATAACATGCTGATTCAGGCTTATCTAGAACACTTCATATTATGCTGATACATAGTTCTGTGGAAAGTGATATCATATGATGAAATATATTGATGTATTGATCCTAGTATACCCAGATACCGGCATGACTTGTTGGTATATAGACATATAAGGGAGTATACCAACTGATGGTCCCTACCGTCGTATAGCCTGTGTGTAACATGAGAGCATTTCTTGATACTGATGCTGGCTGGATATTTTATTGGACCGAAGAAAAGCAGTGGCATATGGACGACAATAAGGGAACAACTATTTGATATCATGTGATATTAAAAATATGAAGCCTCCATACTTCTTCCCCCGGACCTGACGAGCTATCTCCTTCACTACCCCCAGGGGCGGATACAGGATATTCGTTGGGGTGGGTGGGGGTGGGGGTTTTGTGCCCAAATCCTCGGAACCCTGTGGGGGTGCGCACGCACCCACGCAAACCCACCCCCACCCCCCCCCCCTTTTCTGGATCCGCGCATGACCCCATATAATCTTTCTCTGGCTATACGACTTTACGACAGGGAGGCTACACACCCCACTGCAACCTAGGTGTATACAGTTACATGGCATGGGATGACATGCGCAGTGGGGACAGTGAGGATGAACCTGTTACTGTATCTGGACACCTGTGACGTGCAACATCCTGCGAACACTCCCATCTGGACGTAGCAACATTGTTACCCCGACATTCAACACCGAGATATGTCGCTACCGGACTTATCGATGGCCACAGGGCATCGGTCGGTTTCAGTCACAAAGGCTTATAACCATGTCTTTGTTCGCACATATATCGCACATGGGCACAGGGTCCATCGAAATTGGACCACCGACAGTGTTCCACCTTCTGTAATTATCGTTATATATTTCATCCGAAACATATCTGAATCATACAATGCACAGGCACTAAAATACAATCTCTCAACAATATGTAAAATACAAGACAATACATTATATTGTTGATATAAAAGTTTAAAGAAGTCAGTGAAATGAAAATACATCTATGGCACGCAGGTCGATGTGCCGAGTTACGTCCCTTGGGTGTGATAAAACGAATGACTGTGGTTTGAATCCCGTGACTCCCCGATTATGTTTTTAGCTCTGGCAACACAAAATCGTGCTCGTGGTTTTGATCAGTAGGCAATGTCTGAGACCTGCATCCGTATACCTGATAACACGCCTTGATATTTTCGGGGAAGAAATGGAGAAAACGGCGTTAAACCAGCCCATGCAGCACTTTCTGAGTTTGTCGGCTTGGGCAGTAACATGCACAAAACCGGAGCTTGACACAATAAAAAATACTTCCTGCACATCATCAAAATCACTTCAGCTACCCATGGCGGTTGGTATAGGTGCACAGTGTTTGCTACTGATAATACGCTTTTCGTTTCCTTGATTGTTACAGAAGAATACGAACGAAAACAACACTTTTGCTACATTGTAAAGGATATTCTAAAAGTCACCTTCCGTGATTAAAAACACAAAAAACGTTCTCGTATTTCCGCCCATAACGGAAACACCCGATAGTTAATAAGCAGAGGGGTATCACGTGACATGACGTCATATGTGCCTGTTGCTGATGGCTTCCTCTTCAATTTTACCTCACTACTTAACAGTGTCCATAGATTCTGAAGCAGTAAAATATGTTAATGATGTCATTTCTCAAATGGATGCTAGACCGTATCAATACGATCCGATTTTACATCTTGCAAGACAATCTTCCAGTGAAGAAGAAGAAGAAGAATCAAGCGAAACGGAGGCACCGCTTGAGGTCAAAATAAATTTAAAAATAGACCATATCATTTAAAAAGGAATACTATTTGTCAGCAAAATGTGATACAGTTCCAACCAGCAAACCCACCCCTATAAATATATAACCATGGTGCCGTTGTACAAAGCGATCTGGGTGCCGTTCCACTAACCGATCTTATCTCAGATCAATCTTAGCAAGTTACGCCAATTTTACAATCGTCTTAGCTAAAAGTTACACCCGTTCCACAAACCGATTTTAGGCCGATTGTAGCCGGTCCCGATCTTACGATCCGATCCAAGCTTAGATCGAGACTCTTTCGTGCGAGAGATAGAGGAATGCGAGGCACGAGTTATCTCCCTTTGCATAGTCTAGCAAATGATGGAAGTAGTTTACGAACCAACTGAATGAGTGAGTGAGTTTAGATTTACGCCGCACTCAGCAATAGTCCAGCTATATGGCGGCGGTCTGTAAATAATCTAACTAAGATGCATAGCGTTCACTAACATGAGCGTTCATGTTAGTGAACGCTATGTATCTTAGCTATAAATAATCGAGTCTAGACCAGACAATCCAGTGATCAACAGCATGAGCATCGATCTGCGCAGTTGGGAACCGATTACATGTGTCAACCAAGTCAGCGAGCCTGACCACCCGATCCCGTTACTGGCCTCTTACGACAAGCATGGGTTATTGAAGTTCAATATTCTAACCCGGGCCTTCATTGGTGTTTTTCCAACCATGTGTAAACGTGGAGAAAAAAGTTAGAGCAAAATATTAGGGTAGTGAGCACCTTGGTTTTAGGTGCAAGTGCGTGTGAACGCTGGGTATCAGGCATAATATAATAATAATAAATGCATATTTATAGTGCGCCTATTCCACATCCTGGGGCATGCTCAAAGCGCCATGTACAGATAATTTACACGAGAGTATTTACAGCCGAGATTATAAGTAATAAACTGAGAACAGGTTTTAAGTCTGGACTTTAAAAATGTCAATTGTGTCAGAGCTTTTAATATGTGCCTGAATAACACACGGCCTGCCTTTAGAATCCCCCACCAAATATGCGCAGTGAAATAAAACATATTTGTATCTTTTTGCTCCAAACATTGTTCACTTCACGGCTGTCCCTATTCTTAACCATGACGTTGCAATATTGTTGTACAAACGTGTTACACCGACTCGCTCGGTTGTGTTCCCATGACGACAGTGGTCAGACTGGCCTGACATTTGTAAGGCTTCAGTGCAGTGTTTGTTTACATCACAGAAATATACAAATTCATTTCATGGTGGATTTTAGGGGGACGCTCACGGTGAAATGCTCGCTCTTATTTTTCACATAGAATAGGAAAGCCACCGTTTTGGTTTCTCTACGATTGATTTTAGCTATCCTAAGTTGGTCATGAGCAACTTAGACTTTGAATCTTAACTTTACGATTGACTTAGGTAAGATTGGTTAGTGGAACGGTATGCCGATCGTAACGTAACGCTAAGATTGGAATTTTGTGGGTTTACGATTGGCGTAGGGCTAAGATCGGTTAGCGGAACGGCACCCTGAGCGCTAAGGTGACCGTAACTCCCATAACTCAACATAGACTTAAGGTAGTCTTAGCACTAA